GGGCTGTGGTGGGTATGTGGGCCTGCGGGCCGCTCCAAGCAACAGCCTGGTGGACCAACCGGGCTGTGGTGGGTATGTGGGCCTGCGGGCCGCTCCAAGCAACAGCCTGGTGGACCAACCGGGCTGTGGTGGGTATGTGGGCCTGCGGGCCGCTCCAAGCAACAGCCTGGTGGACCAACCAGGCTGTGGTGGGTATGTGGGCCTGCGGGCCGCTCCAAGCAACAGCCTGGTGGACCAACCGGGCTGTGGTGGGTATGTGGGCCTGTGGGCCGCTCCAAGCAACAGCCTGGTGGACCAACCGGGCTGTGGTGGGTATGTGGGCCTGTGGGCCGCTCCAAGCAACAGCCTGGTGGACCAACCGGGCTGTGGTGGGTATGTGGGCCTGCGGGCCGCTCCAAGCAACAGCCTGGTGGACCAACCGGGCTGTGGTGGGTATGTGGGCCTGCGGGCCGGCTGGTGGACCAAACTCTCACAAGTCAAGCCTGGCCTCGGGCCGGGCTTGGGGAGTAGAAGAACTCCCACAACCCCGTCAACCAGGTATCAACCAGGTATCAACCAGGTATCAACCAGGTATCAACCAGGTATCAACCAGGTATCAACCAGGCAAAAGAGTAGTAGAATATTCAGGGGTCCCGAATATTTTCCAACGTCAACTGAACATTAATTTTTCGTGCACAAATTAATATTTTCATTTCGAAGTTGCATGAATTTTGCATCAATTTTAATATTTTGGGGCTGGCAAGTGTTTCCTGTTATGATGCTGGTTGTGCGCGGTTAGTGCTCAGGCCGGGATGCACGCACTCGCACACACAAATGCACGCACTCAAACACACACGCACACAAATGCTCATTGACACGAATATACGGAGACATAAAATCACGCGTACACGAATGCTCAGAAGAATCATTTCACACACGAATGCATGTACACGCGTACGCGCGTGCGCGCGCACACATACACACACACACACACACACACACACACACACACACACACACACACACACACACACACACACACACACACACACACACACACACACACACACACACACACACACACACACACACACACACACACACACACACACACACACACACACACACACACACACACACACACACACACAAGGTTAGATAAAGGGTAGGTTAGATAGGGTAGATAAAGACAGGCTATTTAACACAAGGGCCACACGCACAAGGGGACACAGGTGAAAACTGAGTGCCTAAATGAGCCACAGAGATATTAGAAAGAACTTTTTTAGTGTCAGAGTGGTTGACAAATGGAATGCATTAGGAAGTGATGTGGTGGAGGCTGACTCCATACACAGTTTCAAGTGTAGATATGATAGAGCCCAATAGGCTCAGGAACCTGTACACCTGTTGATTGACAGTTGAGAGGCTGGACCAAAGAGCCAGAGCTCAACCACCCGCAAGCACAACTAGGTGAGTACACACACACACACACACACAGAAACACACACACAGTTGAGAGACGGGCCGAAAGAGCAAAGCTCAACCCCCCGCAAACACAACTAGGTGAATACAACTAGGTGAGTACACACACACACACACACACACACACGCACACGGACACACGCACACACACACACACACGCACACGCACACACGCACACACACACACACACGCACACACACGCACGCACGCACGAGTTACAACGAACTCCGCGACGTTCAACGCATTGACACGTGCGTCGCGCGTCGGTTTAACGTAACACGGTACGTCGAAGCCTTGGCAAGGTCGAGGGAGGGAGGACCCACTCTCGAACTCTACATCAGGTAAACCACAGGTAAACCATAAGGTACTTGAGCCCAACTGGTACCGTAGTTAAGTCAATAGATAGGTTGCGTTCATTCACTATAATACTTATTTAATGCCTTCCTTCGTTCATTCCTCTTGATTGATGAAAATTGTCCGCTCGGCCGGTCGGCCGAGCGGACAACCTTCATCAATGCCACTGTAGATAATTCCACTGTTGTTTAAGGCCACTGTGCATAAATGGTAGTTCGGTGCGCAACCAAGAATTTCGTCAAGCAGATCGTCGAGGACGCCGATGATAGCGTACCGAGCGGTGTTGGACGCGTGTGGTCGCACATGTGGTGGACCACTTATCGACAGAGCCAGTCGGCCGAGCGGACAGCACGCTGGACTTGTGATCCTGTGGTCCCGGGTTCGATCCCGGGCGCCGGCGAGAAACAATGGGCAGAGTTTCTTTCACCCTATGCCCCTGTTACCCAGCAGTAAAATGGGTACCTGGGTGTTAGTCAGCTGTCACGGGCTGCTTCCTGGGGGTGGAGGCCTGGTCGAGGACCGGGCCGCGGGAACACTAAAAAGCCCCGAAATCATCTCAAGATAACCTCAAGATAAGATAACCCAAGAGGCGGCACGGGCATGAATAGCCCCGGAATTCATTCCTCCTTATTCACCTTAGTGGCTGTATATATATTCAATTTACAGTATTTTGACTTCATTTACCGAAACTTGGGCCTGTACTCTGTACTGTACTCTGAACTGTACTCTGTACTGTACTCTGTACTGTACTCTGTACTGTACTCTGAACTGTACTCTGTACTGTACTCTGTACTGTACTCTGTACTGTACTCTGAACTGTACTCTGTACTGTACTCTGTACTGTACTCTGTACTGTACTCTGTACTGTACTCTGTACTGTACTCTGTACTGTACTCTGTACTGTACCCTGAACTGTACTCTGTACTGTACTCTGTACTGTACTCTGTACTGTACTCTGAACTGTACTCCGCCTTCTGGTGGGACTTCTGGGCGAGCTCGTCGTGGTTCAGTGGGTAGGGCGTGTGCCTGGGAACCCCGAGCGGGTGCAGGTTCGAGCCCATTGTAGGGCCTCAGTCGGGAAGGGAACGGAGAGGGAATGAGGAGAAAGCGCCAAGCCATTGCGACTATATAATGACCACTGGAACATTATATAGCGCTTTAAAAGGGGGGTCAGGATGAGGATTTGGGATGGGACGGGGGAAAGGAATGGTGCCCAACCACTTGTGGACGGTCGGGGATTGAACGCCGACCCGCATGACGGGAGACGGCCGCTCTACCAATCACTGTGCGTGTTCTGTCAACGTGACAGAGGTCCGTCCGGCGGCGTGTGGACGCGTAGTGTGACGTCAGCAGGTGGGTGACATATCCCTCTGTTGACCATTGCAACAGGGGATTAATGGTGCAATATTGGATAGCGGGTATCAGTCCAGCAACCAGGAGGCCTGGTCGACGACCGGGCCGCGGGGACGCTAAGCCCCGGAAGCACCTCAAGGTAACCTCAAGGTAAGGTGGTGTGATGTGTGGCAGGTGCAACAGCTGCACCATGAGCACCTACGGAGTGGTGCAATGAACCACTTAGTGTGATGAAAGGGAACAGTAGAACAACACAACAGTGCACTTACACCGCATCAGGCTTGGGTACCCCATGTGCATGGGGGAAATAGGCTTACAGGTTCCGGAAGATGAGAGGAACTGGAACATTACCTAACACAGTGCACAGTTACAACCACAACATGTCACAGACCACTGGAACATTATCTAACACAGTGCACAGTTACAACCTCAACAGACCACTGGAACATTATCTAACACAGTGCACAGTTACAACCACAACAGACCACTGGAACATTATCTAACACAGTGCACAGTTACAACCACAACAGACCACTGGAACATTATCTAACACAGTGCACAGTTACAACCACAACAGACCACTGGAACATTATCTAACACAGTGCACAGTTACAACCACAACAGACCCTGAAACATTAACACAGTGCACAGTTACAACCACAACAGACCACTGGAACATTACCTAACACAGTGCACAGTTACAACCACAACAGACCACTGAAACATTAACACAGTGCACAGTTACAACCACAACAGACCACTGAAACATTAACACAGTGCACAGTTACAACCACAACAGACCACTGAAACATTAACACAGTGCACAGTTACAACCACAACAGACCACTGAAACATTAACACAGTGCACAGTTACAACCACAACAGACCACTGAAACATTAACACAGTGCACAGTTACTACCACAACAGACCACTGGAACATTACATAACCTGGCCTGGTTGTGTGGGCTCTGTCGGGCCCTTTCCTTTCCTCTCATGCACCTCTTCCCTTATATTCCTATCTCTTCCCACGTGCCTCTTCGTCCCTCCCATCTATCCTTCGCTATCATTGTGCTCCGTCCCCTCCCATCCTCCTGAGGCCAGCCCTTTGTAAACTGTAAACTGTAAACTCCAGCTGCAAAAATCTTGTTCCTTTGATGCTGCAGACTGAGGCTAGTCCTATGTAGGACCCGTGGGAATATCACCCGGGGCGTGGGAGAGTGGCGAGGCAGCGTGGGAATATCATCCAGGGCGTGGAGAGTGGCGAGGCAGCGTGGGAATATCACCCGGGGCGTGGGAGTGTGGCGAGACAGCGTGGGAATATAACCCGGGGCGTGGGAGTGTGGCGAGACAGCGTGGGAATATCACCCGGGGCGTGGGAATATCCCCCGGGTGTGGGAGTGTGGGCGAGGCAGCGTGGGAATATCACCTGAGGCGTGGGAGTGTGGCGAGGCAGCGTGGGAATATCACCCGGGGCGTGGGAGTGTGGCGAGGCAGCGTGGGAATATCACCCGGGGCGTGGGAGAGTGGCGAGGCAGCGTGGGAATATCACCCGGGGCGTGGGAGAGTGGCGAGGCAGCGTGGGAATATCACCCGGGGCGTGGGAGAGTAGCGAGGCAGCGTGGGAATATCACCCGGGGCGTGGGGGAGAGTGGCGAGGCAGCGTGGGAATATCACCCGGGGCGTGGGAGAGTGGCGAGGCAGCGTGGGAATATCACCCGGGGAGTGGGAGAGTGGCGAGGCAGCGTGGGAATATCACCCGGGGCGTGGAGAGTGAGGAGGCAGCGTGGGAATATCCCCCGGGGCGTGGGAGAGTGGCGAGGCAGCGTGGGAATATCACCCGGGGCGTGGGAGAGTGGCGAGGCAGCGTAGGAATATCACCCGGGGCGTGGGAGAGTGGCGAGGCAGCGTGGGAATATCACCCGGGCGTGGGAGAGTGGCGAGGCAGCGTGGGAATATCCCCTGGTGCGTGGGAGAGTGGCGAGGCAGCGTGGGAATATCACCCGGGGCGTGGGAGAGTGGCGAGGCAGCGTGGGAATATCCCCCGGGGCGTGGGAGAGTGGCGAGGCAGCGTGGAATATCACCCGGGGCGTGGGAGAGTGGCGAGGCAGCGTGGGAATATCCCCTGGGGCGTGGGAGAGTGGCGAGGCAGCGTGGGAATATCCCCCGGGGGCGAGGGAGAGTGGCGAGGCACCGTGGGAATATCCCCCGGGGCGTGGGAGAGTGGCGAGGCACCGTGGGAATATCCCCCGGGGCGTGGGAGAGTGGCGAGGCAGCGTGGGAATATCCCCCGGGGCGTGGGAGAGTGGCGAGGCAGCGTGGGAATATCCCCCGGGGCGTGGGAATATCCCCCGGGGCGTGGGAGAGTGGAGAGGCAGCGTGGGAATATCCCCCGGGGCGTGGGAATATCCCCCGGGGCGTGGGAATATCCCCCGGGGCGTGGGAGAGTGGAGAGGCAGCGTGGGAATATCCCCCGGGGCGTGGGAGAGTGGCGAGGCAGCGTGGGAATATCCCCCGGGGCGTGGGAGAGTGGCGAGGCAGCGTGGGAATATCACCCGGGGCGTGGGAGTGCTCTACTACTACAGCTGCTAATAATAATATTAATAATAACAGTAATGATAATATTGAGGTCAGGGTGCCGCCACCTCCACTTAAAACCATGAAAATGAAACAAAAGACAAAACCACACAAATTAAATTCCTCATTGACGCCATAAGTATTTTACACGATGGGGGATGTTGCCATGGCAACGCTCTTGCCTCACTTATTCAGCTATTCATCGCGTATATCAGTTAACAATAAGCAAAAGCTGTTTGTTGCCAGACTCTTCTTTCTCATGTGAATTAGAATCGCAAAAGTTAATTTTATTTAACTGTAGTGGTTGTCTCAATTGAGCAACTTGGACTGATGGGTGATTGACGGGCTAATTTCTGCAAGTTTAAGAGGTAGGTATATTGGTCTATATGTCTGGGACGGTAGGATGACCTAGAGTTGAACACAGGCGAGAACGATCGGGGTTCGAATCCCCTCAGTGCTATAAATCCTTGAATTGTAATGATTAAACATGACACACTTTTCTTTTAAGTAATGGAGGGGAGCCTATCGCTAATAGGCTTACCAAAGCTGCCATCAATTGTCTTGAAGCTGTGTTGCTGACCTGCAACACCTGGACGCTGAACACCAGAGAATCTGGTTAGTTACAACACACGAGAATCTGGTTAGTTGCAACACGAGATAATATGGTTAGTTGCAACACAAGATAATATGGTTAGTTGCAACACAAGATAATATGGTTAGTTGCAACACAAGATAATATGGTTAGTTGCAACACAAGATAATATGGTTAGTTGCAACACAAGATAATATGGTTAGTTGCAACACAAGATAATATGGTTAGTTGCAACACAAGAGAATCTGGTTAGTTGCAACACAAGAGAATCTGGTTAGTTGCAACACAAGATAATATGGTTAGTTGCAACACGAGATAATATGGTTAGTTGCAACACAAGAGAATCTGGTTAGTTGCAACACGAGATAATATGGTTAGTTGCAACACGAGATAATATGGTTAGTTGCAACACAAGAGAATCTGGTTAGTTGCAACACGAGATAATATGGTTAGTTGCAACACAAGAGAATCTGGTTAGTTGCAACACGAGATAATATGGTTAGTTGCAACACAAGAGAATCTGGTTAGTTGCAACACAAGAGAATCTGGTTAGTTGCAAAACGAGATAATATGGTTAGTTGCAACACAAGATAATATGGTTAGTTGCAACACGAGATAATATGGTTAGTTGCAACACAAGATAATATGGTTAGTTGCAACACGAGATAATATGGTTAGTTGCAACACGAGATAATATGGTTAGTTGCAACACAAGAGAATCTGGTTAGTTGCAACACGAGATAATATGGTTAGTTGCAACACAAGAGAATCTGGTTAGTTGCAACACAAGAGAATCTGGTTAGTTGCAAAACGAGATAATATGGTTAGTTGCAACACAAGATAATATGGTTAGTTGCAAAACGAGAGAATCTCGTTAGTTGCAACAAGATAATATAGTTAGTTGCATCACAAGAGAATCCGGCTAGTTGCAACACAAGATAATATGGTTAGTTGCAAAACGAGAGAATCTCGTTAGTTGCAACAAGATAATATAGTTAGTTGCATCACAAGAGAATCCGGCTAGTTGCAACATAAGGGGGATTACTCTCGTATCAGGCTCTGAAAGCCTCAATAGAGGGAGAGAGAGCCCCTTAGCTGTGATACACGCACAAAATAACGTCAGTGGGATTCTTAAAATCTCTTTACTTAATTAGAGACTGGTTGGGTCTCTCTTAGTAAGATATATATTAATTTGCTACGTTTGCGGGGAAGCAAATTACAATATTGCAGAGCACATTAACATGTTGGACGCCTCAAAGCTTGTTTAATACCACTGTTGATAATTCCACTGTTGTTTAAGGCCACTGTGCATAAATGGTAGTTCGGTGCGCAACCAAGAATTTCGTCAAGCAGATCGTCGAGGACGCCGATGATAGCGTGCCGAGCGGTGTTGGACGTGTGTGGTCGCACATGTGGTGGACCACTTACCGACGGAGCCGGTCGGCTGAGCGGACAGCACGCTGGACTTGTGATCCTGTGGTCCGGGTTCAATCCCGGGCGCCGGCGAGAAACAATAAGCAGAGTGTCTTTCACCCTATGCCCCGTTACCTAGCAGTAAAATAGGTACCTGGGTGTTAGTCAGCTGTCACGGCTGCTTCCTGGGGTTGGAGACCGGGCCGCGGGACACTAAAGCCCCGAAATCATCTCAAGATAACCTCAAGACTGCCAGCACTCAACACAGCAAGAGTTGTCAACAGGAGCATCAACGTGCTCCCAGATGTGCATCTTGTCCAACTGCGTCTTGACCCCAACCGTCAGACCATCTTGAGCAGCGGCGCTGTACACACCACACACTTGGTAGCTACCTCCTGGCCCAGTAGACCATGGTATATATTTTCACAATAATACGAAGGAAAAGGTCAAAGCTGTTTGTGCTGCATTCCTCCACACTACCAGAAAACTACAACCACACGACCACAACCAGTTAATTAACATGATCACAGGTCAGGTCAATAATGTACACTCACACACACACACACACACACACACACACACACACACACAGTGTGTGTGTTGTGTTATACACTCCAATACAGTGTGTGTGTGTGTGTGTGTGTGTGTGTGTGTGTGTGTGTGTGTGTGTGTGTGTGTGTGTGTGTGTGTGGAGTGTTATACACTCCATAGTGTATAACAAATCACTGGCAACAGGGGAACTGCCAGATATTTGGAAAGCAGCTAACGTAGTCCCGATATACAAGAAAGGGAATAGACAGGAGGCACTGAACTACAGGCCAGTGTCCCTAACCTGCATACCATGCAAGCTGATGGAGAAGATTGTGCGAAAAAAACTAGTGGAGCATCTGGAGCGAAGGAACTTTGTAACACAGCATCAACATGGGTTCAGGGATGGCAGGTCCTGCCTCACAGGGTTACTTGAATTCTACGACCAGGCAACAAAAATAAGGCAAGAAAGAGAAGGGTGGGCAGACTGCATATTTTTGGATTGTCAGAAAGCCTTTGATACAGTGCCACACAAGAGGCTAGTGCGAAAGTTGGAGATGCAGGCTGGCGTGAGAGGGAAGGTACTCTGGTGGATAGAGGAGTACCTAAGCAACAGGAGACAACGAGTCTGTGTGAGGGTGAGGTCTCAGATTGGCGAGACGTACAGTGGAGTCCCGCAGGGGTCAGTCCTTGGACCTATACTGTTTCTGGTATATGTAAATGATCTCCCAGAGGGTATAGATTCGTTCCTCTCAATGTTTGCCGACGATGCAAAAATTATGAGGAGGATTGAAACAGAGGATGATAGTAGGAGGCTACAAGATGACCTAGATAGACTGAGTGAATGGTCCAACAAATGGCTGTTGAAGTTCAACCCGAGTAAATGCAAAGTAATGAAACTAGGCAGTGGAAACAGGAGGCCAGACACAGGATACAGAATAGGAGATGAAGTCCTTCACGAAACGAACAGAGAGAAAGATCTAGGAGTTGATATCACACCAAACCTGTCTCCTGAATCCCACATAAAGAGAATAACGTCTGCGGCATATGCGAGGCTGGCTAACATCAGAACGGCGTTCAGGAACCTGTGTAAGGAATCATTCAGAATCTTGTACACAACATATGTAAGACCAATCCTGGAGTATGCGGCCCCAGCATGCAGCCCGTACCTTGTCAAGCACAAGACGAAGCTGGAAAAAGTCCAACGGTATGCTACTAGACTAGTCCCAGAACTAAGAGGCATGAGTTATGAGGAAAGGCTGCGGGAAATGCACCTTACGACACTGGAAGACAGAAGAGTAAGGGGGGACATGATCACAACCTACAAAATCCTCAGGGGAATTGACAGGGTGGACAAAGACAAACTCTTCAGCACGGGTGGGACACGAACAAGGGGACACAGGAGGAAACTTAGTACCCAGATGAGCCACAGAGACGTTAGAAAGAACTTTTTCAGTGTCAGAGTAGTTAATAAATGGAATGCATTAGGCAGTGATGTGGTGGAGGCTGACTCCATACACAGTTTCAAATGTAGATATGATAGAGCCCAATAGGCTCAGGAATCTGTACACCAGTTGATTGACAGTTGAGAGGCGGGACCAAAGAGCCAAAGCTCAACCCCCGCAAGCACAATTAGGTGAGTACAATTAGGTGAGTATACACACACACACACACACACACACACACACACACACACACACACACACACACACACACACACACACACACACACACACGAGTACGTCAGGGTGAGAAGAGAAGCAGAGAAAAATTTTGAAAATGATATAGCAAACAAAGCCAAGACCGAACCAAAGCTACTTTACAGTCACATCAGAAGGAAAACAACAGTGAAAGAACAGGTATTGAAACTTAGAACAGGCGAGGACAGGTATACAGAGAATGACAGAGAGGTGTGTGAGGAACTCAACAAGAGGTTCCAGGAGGTCTTCACAATAGAACAGGGTGAGGTCACTGTGCTAGGAGAAAGGGAGATAAACCAGGCGGCCTTGGAGGAGTTCGAAATTACGAGAGAGGAGGTCAAGAGACACCTGCTGGATCTGGATGTTAGAAAGGCTGTTGGTCCAGATGGGATCTCACCATGGGTACTGAAAGAGTGTGCAGAGGCACTTTGCTTGCCACTCTCCATAGTGTATAGTAAGTCACTAGAGACGGGAGACCTACCAGAAATATGGAAGACGGCGAATGTGGTCCCAATATACAAAAAGGGCGACAGACAAGAGGCACTGAACTACAGGCCAGTGTCCTTGACTTGTATACCATGCAAGGTGATGGAGAAGATCGTGAGAAAAAACCTGGTAACACATCTGGAGAGAAGGGACTTCGTGACAAATCGCCAACATGGGTTCAGGGAGGGTAAATCTTGCCTTACAGGCTTGATAGAATTCTACGATCAGGTGACACAGACTAAGCAAGAAAGAGAGGGCTGGGCAGACTGCATTTTCCTGGATTGTCGGAAAGCCTTTGACACAGTACCGCATAAGAGGCTGGTACATAAGCTGGAGAGACAGGCAGGTGTAGCTGGTAAGGTGCTCCAGTGGATAAGGGAGTATCTAAGCAATAGGAAGCAGAGAGTTACGGTGAGGGGTGAGACCTCCGATTGGCGTGAAGTCACCAGTGGAGTCCCACAGGGCTCTGTACTCGGTCCTATCTTGTTTCTGATATATGTAAATGATCTCCCGGAGGGTATCGATTCATTTCTCTCAATGTTTGCGGACGATGCTAAAATTATGAGAAGGATTAAAACAGAAGAGGACTGTTTGAGGCTTCAAGAAGACCTAGACAAGCTGAAGGAATGGTCGAACAAATGGTTGTTAGAGTTTAACCCAACCAAATGTAATGTAATGAAGATAGGTGTAGGGAGGCAGGAGGCCAGATACAAGGTATCATCTGGGAGAGGAAATTCTTCAGGAGTCAGAGAAGGAAAAAGACTTGGGGGTTGATATCACGCCAGACCTGTCTCCTGCAGCACATATCAAGCGGATAACATCAGCGGCATATGCCAGGCTGGCCAACATATGAACGGCATTCAGAAATTTGTGTAAA